CTTAAGCCAACATTACATCACCTGTCCTTTAGCCAACATTACATCACCTGTCCTTAAGCCAACATTACATCACCTGTCTTTTAGCCAACATTGTATCACCTGTCCTTAAACCAACATTACATCACCTGTCCTTTAGCCAACATTACATCACCTGTCCTTGAGCCAACATTACATCACCTGTCTTCTAGCCAACATTACATCACCTGTCCATAAGCCAACATTACATCACCTGTCCTTAAGCCAACATTACATCACCTGTCCTTTAGCCAACATTACATCACCTGTCCTTTAGCCAACATTACATCACCTGTCCTTTAGCCAACATTACATCACCTGTCCTTAAGCCAACATTACATCACCTGTCCTTTAGCCAACATTACATCATCTGCCCAATAGCCAACATAACATCACCTGTCCTTTAGCCAACATTACATCACCTGTACTTTAGCCAACATTACATCACCTGTCCCTTAGCCAACATTACATCACCTGTCCTTTAGCCAACATTACATCACCTGTCTTTTAGCCAACATTGTATCACCTGTCCTTAAGCCAACATTACATCACCTGTCCTTAGGCCAACATTACATCATCTGTCCTTTAGCCAACATTACATCACATGTCCTTTAGCCAACATTACATCACATGTCCTTTAGCCAACATTATATCACCTGTCCTTTAGCCAACATTACATCACCTGTCCTTTAGCCAACATTACATCACCTGTCCTTTAGCCAACATTACATCACCTGTCCTTTAGCCAACATTGTATCACCTGTCCTTTAGCCAACATTACATCATCTGCCCATTAGCCACGACAGTAACTCTTCCTTGAAGTCAACATATCTGTGAGCAAATACACCTCCAGACAACTCATTTGAAGAAACAGGCAATGAAAACACATTCAATTGAACTGCACACAATGCACAGGGCTCTGAAGGGAATTAAATGTGGCAAATCTTCTGCAGTGGCCATTTTGATATCACACAAGACTGGTCTGATCACATACTCCAGACATAATTTCCTGCTGAAGCAACTCAGTTGTGTGGAACTACATGCAAGACTCCATCTGCTCCAATACAACACATCATCAAGTGCTCTTACTTCCAGACTTAATTTCCTTCACAGAAAACACAATGTTCTGATATGCAACATGCAGAGGTTTACCATGGTCTGTATGGTCGTGTCCTTGAGACACTCAGACATCGGTTCTTGTTGTCACTGTGACCTACATCTACAGGCTGGCAGCATCAGACACTCAGACATCGGTTCTTGATGTCACTGTGACCTACATCTACAGGCTGGCAGCATCAGACACTCAGACATCGGTTCTTGATGTCACTGTGACCTACATCTACAGGCTGGCAGCATGAGACACTCAGACATCGGTTCTTGATGTCACTGTGACCTACATCTACAGGCTGGCAGCATGAGACACTGAGACACTGGTTTGATGTCACTGTATTACATCTAAGGCTGGCAGCTTTCTGGCTAAAAGTTTGTTTGTTGACATATTTTGTAAATCTGCAGCTTTCTGTCAGCAGATACCCTTTAGACATTTTCTTTTAATTATTTTGGCATTGTAAACCTAATACCACACTAAATGGCCTGAAAATCTGCGCATCTCACGACTTTCTTCATAAACATACAGTGAGTTCTACTTTTCTTAGGTTTCTTCAGATTGTGATAGGAAGCCATTGACATTCTAATTGACTGAAGAATGTTACATCACAAAGGTTTATAACCATCATTTTAATATGCATCTAATGGATTTTTTATTGGTTAAAAGTCACAATTTTATGCATGAAAATTTCAGGACATCAATTGAGTGAGTGCGAGAGATTTTATTTTTACGCTGCTTTTGCAAGATTCCAGCAATATCACAGCAAGGGACACCAGATATGGGCTTTCACACATTGTTACCCATGTGGGGAATCGAACCCAGGTCTTTGGTATGACGAGCGAACACTTTAAATATTAGGCTAAGACCAACCGGCCCGGACATGATTTGAACCGGCAACCTCACATATGACCATGATGACGTTAGTACTGAGTCGCAGTAAGCCACCATGCCAGATGATGAAAGGGTGTTCAGTATCATTGACTTCAGTTGTCTGTATGCTTAGTCTTTCTCTTGCCAGCTCTCATCAAATTCATTTTATACTCCATATTCTATAACATTTCACCATAAGACACAAACATGTTTTTTAATCTTTTGTCTACATCTTGCATTTTGAAGTTAATAAGTCAATTGCAACACTCATTTTTGGTTGAAAACATAAAATTAATTAGAGCTTGGGAAAATACCAAACCTTGCTCACTGTTGAACATTTTCAACCGAACCTCAAAGTCATGTTTTGATCATAACATACGGCCCTGTTGTCACAAACAGTGTCGGATACGGCCATTGTACAACACAGCTTCAATGAGCTGTCCACATGGCATCTATTTGATGCATGGTATTACGACAAAATAAAACGAACAATATATAGCATGTAGAGTCGGGATCTGTAGGGCACTCATTAGGCTAAGTGAAACAACATAGGAACAACGAACAATATAATAGTGGTACACTGACAGCTGATGTTGGACGGTCACACAGAATATCTGTAGGATGGCATATATAACGAAGCATGGATTTACCACCAGCTTGATCAGAGTGTGTTCAAGACAAAAGTCTCTCAGAGATGACTTATGTGAAAGGTACCAGAATAACTCAAAGGGTTATATTTGAGATTCCAAACTAGGTGCCTTTGGTGGACAAACTGGAAAGAAATCATGACATTGTGCAAATGGGTTTTTTTATCAATTTTTTTAATGTTCTTATTTTCATAAAATTGAGAAACTGGGTATTATTTTATTTAGTTTAAGAGCTGTACTATCACTTGCATCAGACTTGGAGTCAAATTTCTGCCTCTTGGGAGGTCTATACAAGTCCTTGAATTTAACAACCAACCAATTGTTTTGATAAAAGGTTGCAAAGATCATTGATAATTTGTTGCTATTGTTTAATTATTCTTTAAATTATTTTTAATCACATTGTGAAGTTCAAGTTTCTTCTAATTGTTTATAAAAAATTCCATTCCCATGTGTTTAATTTCCATAGTAACCCTATTCCTTCATTGTAATTAGGCTGTTTCTGACCTGTGTGTTATATTATGATAATATTAATATTTAATTATTTGTTGGTTTATCCAATTTACGAACACAGCACATCCAGAGGCTATCTTCATTAAGAGACAACAGCAGGGAAACTAGCCTTGCTCCAAGGCTGTACTGAAGGCTAAGCTCATGGATGTATAGTAATTCTATCCTATGAACAGCCAAGTCTAGATATCTAAGGATGCCAGTCTGTTATTTATATATTTTATAAATCTTCATTTAAACTATTAATTATTACATTTGAGACTTGTGCAAGTCTACAGGGAAACGTCCATTACAGTTCCCAGTCGACCACATAAAATACTGGTCTTATTTCTTGTAATTAACCAACATTGTCTTGTCTTCAGAACTTTTGAAACAAACTTATACATGCTAAATTTTGGTCTACCTGTTTCCCATTTAAAAGTTGCATAATTAGATATACTTTCTCAACTATGATGTGACCAGCAATGTCATTTGTGATGTTTTTTTACAGTTTTTATTAAAGACAACAAAAACATACTCTCCTACTTCTAATATAGTTCTAATATAGTTTCCATTAGTTCACTTCTATATTTAGATGCGAGCGGCTAGGAAAAGATCACATTATAACTGGATCTACGGACCTATTTCTGTTAACACAATTTATGAGAGAAGGTTTTTTGCTTGTGTCATCTTGCCTGATTACTATGTTTCTCCATTACAATATCTTTGAAACTTTTGGGATTTTCGTGCCTTGAGCATGTACTAGTTAAATATATAAATATCCGCGCTATATAAATAGCCAATAATAATAAAAAATAATAATAATAATTTCAAAAGTTTGAAGTTTTTCCTATGAGACATGCTGGTAATAACTGTATTTATATTTCCTCTTTTGAAATGCAGCAGTCATGTTTGCCCCTGTGGTGAAATCCCTGGGCGAGGGTATGGTACAGACAAACCCAGACACATAATCTGGGGGAATTTCAAAAATACAATCAAAGGTTTCTGACGTGCCTATCATGTTATGATATGTATCGGTACATAGGCGTATCACATCACCCTTGTGACCCCAACCCCAGTACTGATGTACCTGGCAGTAGAGGTGTCATTGATTCATCTGTGCCATGTGATGATACAGAGAACTTACCTGATACATGCTTACCTGGTACATGCTTACCTGGTACATACTTACCTGGAACATACTTACCTGATACATACTTACCTGGTACATGCTTACCTGTTCATCAATCCTTATCATCATTTGGTATTGGTTTCACAAATATTATTGTATTTAGTCAATGGTGTAAAAATGTTCATGTAAACAAATGCAAAAGAGGTCTGGCCCCGATTTATCTAAACAAACATAAATCTGAGTTTTTACTTAAGTTAGAGCTTTTACTCAAATTTGAGAAAACGCAGGAAAATGAAATCGATGTTTAACTCATACATAGTAGACAATTTATGTTTTTGGTAAGGTAGGTTACTTAAGTTGGTTTCGCTTTTTGATTTTAGAAATGCAGTTGAGTTAGAAATTCAGCTGTTTCAAATTGTCAAACTCAGTTTGAAATTTGAGTAAAAACTTAGTTTGTTTCGGAAAAATCGTAGCCTGATAACATCCATGATACAAAGAAGCATGTATAACAACTGATGCATGTCAACATACAGAACTATTGTATAAAGGTGGAATTTGGGGTGTCCAGTTAAGCCAGTGTCCACTGTATAATGTGAGGGAGAATTAAGAGTCTTAAGTTCAGAGAGTGTCCACGGTATAGTGAAGTGGAATTCAAGGTGCCCAGTTTAGAAATGATCCAGTGTAGAATGTGAGGTGGAATTAAGAGTGTCCATTGTACAGAGGTTATAAACTAAGAACTTACTTTCTCTCTATACACATATGCCACTATTCCGATGGAAACTTGAAGGAGGAAGGCAATGATGGTCCCCACTAGAAACTGAAACAAAACAATAATGCATCATATATAATAAATTTCACATTATCAGTTCACTGTGGGGAAGAAAATACTTTATGATAAAAACAGACTGCCTGCATTGTGGTTATACTAATCAGACACATGAAATGAGATCACTAAATTATGTTTCAAATCATTATTACACCAACTGCATCAAGTTCAGTTTAATAGATGTTTCAATGAGTATATTTTTACACAAAATTTTATAAGAATTCCATGGCCATGTTTGTACAATAGAAAGTATTCTTCAGGCAGTTGAAAGTTAAAATTACAGAAGTTGCTTGCCCAACAAAATACTTTGTCATTGTTTGAATTTTTGTTGGTTTTACAAATTTCAATTAATAAAATGTCTGGATTTACAGCTGTATCTGAAAAATATCTCCTCTTATTAGTTTGTTTGTTGTTTAATGCCACAATCAGCAATATTACAGCTATGTAGCAGTGGTCTGTAAATAATTGAGTTTGGACCAGACAATCCAGTGATCAACAGCATGAGCATCGATCTAAGTGACTGGGATACGATGACATGTGTCAACCAAGTCAGCTAGCCTTACCACCAGATCATGTCAGTCGCCTCTTACAACAAGAATGGGTTGCTGACGACCAATTCTATCCTCATAATAGTAATGTGCTAAGTACATTACAACATCAGCTGATCGTTCCTTACTAACTTTTGTAACAGATTGATCATATGTGAACAGTCAAGCAGCAATGTTCAAGAAGCATAAATCAGTTGGAGAACTCTAGAAATGTCAATATTAATATTTAACCACTTCCTTTAACATTTTTTTGTCTGGCATAAATCATGAGTTTTCCATTATGGGACACATTCTTCCTCACAGACCAAATAAACACTTTTCACAGCACAATGAGTCATTTACTCAAGCACAAAATTAGAACCAGAAAATATTTCCTTTGATGTTTTTTTTCTTCTAAATAGTTATGAGGGTATCTTGACATTCCATTTTCAGCCTCGGACCAAATTGATTGCATCAAGTCTATTTTTAACTTGAAAAATTGAATCCCACTTCCCTTTCATCAACGCAGTTCCTGAATCTAGCATGTAAATTTAGAAACTGAGCACAAAACCCTTTAACTAATCCCCTCTTGTCACCACCAGAGTGATCAAAGACAAAGTTGGTAAATGAAAGTGAATAGATGCCCAGTAGTTTGACACAAGGGTCGAGTCGATTCACACCAATCTAGTCTGATCAGCCGTGACAATCCCTTGAATATCGAACAAAATTCATCCTGAATCCCCTATTGATTCTTCATGAAGCTATCCCGAATGAAAAGGGCTCATTGTCCACTAAGTCTCCATACATTCGCGCAGTCCTCGCTGCAGTGGATTTGCATTCGTTGGTTCAACGACAGCTGTGGAACGCTTCCACGTGTATTTATTATGCAACAAGGGATTAACATGCTGTCGAGAAAATTTACGAGTGATCGGCAAAAATTTAAATGGATTATCAGAACGAGTGACCAGCATTCACATCACTGATTGGTCTGTTGGATGGGGAAGCATGAAGCAACGTGACACCACCAAGTGTGAATTGGTACGAGTTTGGAAGACTTAATTGGAGTCCCCCTGGGTAACTAGTGATATCGCCAAGGATTCCTTTGGGCGATGAAATAAATATCATGTAAACATAATTCTTAGGACTAGTTGTATTGATGGCTGGCTTCATGGAAAATGTATATTGTGAAATATGGATTTGTGGCAACCTTCCACGAGAGCTATCGTCATGATCACTGCATTCCTAAAGTGCAAAAATTAACCAGCCAAAAGTTTGCTCTATTTCAATTCCATGTGTAAATTAACCATAAATTTGATTCCCAGTCCCGTAATGTAAACTGTCTGGTTAGTGTAAGAAAATCTATCACACATGTCAGAAGGGAATTCTGGATTCACATTATATTTTTATTGAGCATATTTCAAAATTGACGGCATTAATCTTTCCTATGATTGCTTAGGTTTATAGCTTGGAGTGAATAGCAGCAGAAACTTATTGCACTTGATTGATGACAGAAACTTTATTGATCTGTTCCTCTCATGGATGGGTGACCTTCACGTAGTGAGTCCACTTTACAAGCATCTCTCAAACATAAACTGATGCAACATTGGGTGGATGGCTGGGTGGGAAACTGGGGTGGGAAACTGGGTGGGAAGCTGGAAACTGGGTGAAAAGCGGGGTGACAAAATGTTGACAAACTGAATAGTAAGCTGGGTGAGAAGCTGGATGAGAAACTGGGTGAGTAACTGGGTGAGAAATGGGATGGGAATCTGGTTGAGAAACTGGTTGAGAAATTGAATAGGAAGCTGGGTGAGAGGCCAGATGAGAAACTGGGGAACTGAAGCTAGAAACTGGGGAGATACTGGGAAACTGGTGAAGCTAGAAACTGGGGAGAGTACTGGGAGATACTGGGTGAGAAGCTAGAAACTGGGGAGATAAGCTAGAAACTGGGTGAGAAGCCAGGGGGAGATACTGGGGAGAAACTGGGGAGATACTGGGTGAAGAAGAAACTGGGGGAGATACTGGGTGTGAAGCTAGAAACTGGGGGAGATACTGGGTGTGAAGCCAGAAACTGGGGGAGATACTGGGTGAGAAGCCAGAAACTGGGGGAGATACTGGGTGTGAAGCCAGCTGGGGGAGAAACTGGGGAGATACTGGGTGTGAAGCTAGAAACTGGGGAGATACTGGGTGAGAAGCTAGAAACTAGGGGAGATACTGGGTGAGAAGCTAGAAACTGGGGAGATACTGGGAGAAGCCAGAAACTGGGGAGATACTGGGTGTGAAGCTAGAAACTGGGGAGATACTGGGTGTGAAGCTAGAAACTGGGGGAGATACTGGGTGAAACTGGGGAGAGCTAGAAAGCTAGAAACTGGGGAGATACTGGGTGTGAAGCTAGAAACTGGAGCGAGTCAGAAACTGGGGAGATACTGGGTGAAAGCCTAGAAACAGGGGAGATACTGGGTGAGAAGCTAGAAACTGGGGAGATACTGGGTGAAGCCAGAAACTGGGGAGATACTGGGTGAGAAGCCAGAAACTGGGGAGATACTGGGTGTGAAGCCAGAAACTGGGGAGATACTGGGTGAAGCCAGAAACTGGGGAAGCTAGAAACTGGGGGAGAAGGGAGATACTGGGTGAGAAAGCTAGAAACTGGGGGAGATACTGGGTGAGAAGCTAGAAACTAGGGGGAGATAATGGGGGAAGAGAAACTGGGGAGATACTGGGTGAGAAGCTAGAAACTGGGGAGATACTGGGCGTGAAGCTAGAAACTGGGGAGAGCCAGAAACTGGGTGAGAAGCCTAGAAACTGGGGAGATACTGGGTGAGAAGCTAGAAACTGGAGGAGATAATGGGTGTGAAGCCAGAAACTGGGGAGATACTGGGTGAGAAGCTGAGAAGCCAGAAACTGGGGGAGATAACTGGGTGAGAAGCCAGAAACTGGGGATATAATGGGTGAAGCCAGAAACTGGGGAGAGACTGGGTGAGAAGCCAGAAACTGGGGAGATACTGGGTGAGAAGCCAGAAACTGGGGAGATACTGGGCGAGAAGCCAGAAACTGGGGAGATACTGGGTGAGAAGCCAGAAACTGGGGAGATACTGGGTAGAAACAGGGGAGATACTGGGTGAGAAGCTAGAAACTGGGGAGATACTGGGTGAGAAGCTAGAAACTGGGGGAGATACTGGGTGAGAAGCTAGAAACTGGGGGAGATACTGGGTGAGAAGCTAGAAACTGGGGGAGATACTGGGTGAGAAGCCAGAAACTGGGGGAGATACTGGGTGAGAAGCTAGAAACTGGGGAGATACTGGGTGAGAAGAGAAGCCAGAAACTGAGAAGGGGAGATACTGGGTGAGAAGCCAGAAACTGGGGAGATACTGGGTGAAGCCAGAAACTGGGGAGATACTGGGTGAGAAGCCAGAAACTGGGGGAGATAATGGGTGAGAAGCTAGAAACTGGGGGAGATAATGGGTGAGAAGCTAGAAACTGGGGGAGATACTGGGTGAGAAGCTAGAAACTGGGGAGATAATGGGTGAGAAGCCAGAAACTGGGGGAGAAACTGGGTGAGAAGCCAGAAACTGGAGGAGATAATGGGTGAGAAGCCAGAAACTGGAGGAGATAATGGGTGAGAACCGAGAAACTGGGGGAGATAATGGGTGAGAAGCCAGAAACTGGGGGAGATAATGGGTGTGAAGCTAGAAACTGGGGGAGATACTGGGTGTGAAGCTAGAAACTGGGGGAGATACTGGGTGTGAAGCTAGAAACAGGGTTTGGATAAATGATCAAACGAGTGGGTAACTCTAAAAGGTTCAAGACAAGATGAGGCAAACCTGGGTGTAACTGCATGAGGAACACTCCAAGGGCACAATGACACCTATCAGAGAGGTCATACACCATTCTCAGTTTCATCGGGTATAATGGCGAGGTGGGTAGAGAGGACATATTGTGATCCATATTTCCTCATGCTCTCCTATTTACAAGCTGACATGAAGTTAACAACACTTCCTGTTTTTACTCTGCTCAATCTGTTACAGTATGACAGATTGTATACATATTAAATGCTCCTTAGACTAATGCTTAGTCTCTGAATATACCGTATATTACCGTCTATAAGCTGAATTTTGAGGACCAAAAAAGGCAGTCTGTAGAAGGGGGTCGTCTTATCCATGGGTTACGCTTTCGTCAAACTTTTTGCCAGGGGTAAGAAAACAACATCGTATCACTTCACGTGAACAAACAACAGAAGACGACTTTGTCAGTAGAGACGTCAAATTTGCAATTAAACATCACTAGACAAGATTATTTACCTTTTAAGTTGTAAGTTGTTTTTGCTGGGCATTGTATTATTTGCAGGGATTAAGATTACTGTGTGTATCTGAGCCGGAAATAGCATTCAGCTGTGCATATATAGCTGTGTATATAATTTTGATAGTAACTAACAAGCCCATTTAAATTGAAAAGGAGCCCCAGGGAGAC